GGCTCATGGTTTCAAGGGATTCAGTCCATGGTCAGCTGACTCCCAGGCAGGAACATCATGGTGGAAGGGCATGGTGGAGGAAGGCTACTCAGTTCGTGGCAGTCAGGGAGCAGAGCAGGGGAACAGTGCTTCCTTAAATTATATCAGCCCCAGCCCCTTCAAAATTTAATCTGCTCCACTGACTCTATAAATGCAAGTTAACAACACTCACAAGTTGTGATCACTGCGACATAATGAGGGTGACAATAAGCTCTACTTCTTGTCTGTCACTTGAGAGTGGCCCTGTGGACCCCTGTGGGAAATGAGTTGACTGGTGCTTTGTCACCTCTCTCCAGCTCCCGCCCCCACCTCCGGATTTCTACCAGCTGCATCGCAATCACATCCTCCTTAAGAAATAGAAGGAAAACATCTGTGCTTTGTCCGTGATTTGATTCTAAACACTACAAGCAACGAAAGTTTATGGAACATTATGTTTCCGTGGATGTGGTTCTCCAAGGAGCCAAGGAGTCTGCTTAGCCTTCTGCAGAAGCAGCCGGGAGAAAGCACAGAGGGCTGTGGTCCAGGCCAGGGACTGGGGTCCAGTTCTCTTCTTCAGTAGCTGCGTGACCTTCTCACATCAGCCCTCATCTCTGTGCCTCAGTTTCCTCCTGTAGGAAAGGGGAATTCTGAGTGCATCTGTGTCCAGGGTCCCCCTTGAGTCTCACAGTGCTTAGCCCATAGCAAGCACTCGATGAGCCTCATTGCGCTAAGAATATGGATCTTCCAGGTCTCAACTTCCCAGCCAGATTTTGCTCAAGGTCTCTTTTCTGGCAGTCCTATGAGACTTTCCCCACTTATCCCTCCAGACCCTTTATGAAGTTTTTTATTTTGGCAATAATTTTTAATTTCTAGGAACTTCTTACCATTCTTTCCTCTTTTTTTTTTTTCAGAGTAGCTTGCTCTGTTGTTTTATGGCTGCAATAGCCTCTTCCATCTGTGTGAGAATATGAATTCAGTCTTTCAAAGTTCTCTTCCCAGAATTGGCTGTTTCCTTTGGAAAGGGCTGCTTCGTGTGGTCCAGAGCGTCATTCTGGTCTTCTCTGTGCTATCAGTTTCCCTCAGTGTCTGGTCACCTTCCCCTGTCCTTTAGGTTTATCAACAAAGGAGCAAACTGGTGAGCAGAGGAGGCTCCAAGGGTTTCAGCCCTGGTTCTGTGTGTGTTGGGATCTTGGTGTCCCCCATGGGGCTGGGGGGGCTGTGACTTTTGCACCTGGGGATGGCACCTGTCAGAGAGCAGACTTGACATCCACCTGTACAGAGCACTGCCACTGCCCAGATAGAAGCTCTGCTGATACCTATAGCTGAACGTTTGCCCTTCCTACATGTTTCTATCAGCTTCCTCAGAGAGTGAAAGTTTTGATCTTGGACAAATGAAGCTACAGTCAGGGGAGAATAGAAAGAGCAAGGCTGGGTGGGCTGAAGCCTGGTTCTTTTTAGACAGTTTTCAAAACCCTCTGATTTATGAAATCAGTTTAATTTATCAAAAGACTTCAAAGATTGCGTTACAAAGTTCCTAAAGGCCCTTCACTCACTCCTCCCTAGTGGAAATGTCCTGCATAACTGTGGCGTGTTTGTCAAAGCCAAGAAATCAGCATTGGTGCGTTCTTATTGGCTAATATGGACAGGTGATGTGGACTTCAGTAGTGTTCAGCTACTGCCCATTCTCTGGTCTAAGATCCAGTCCGGGACACCTCATTTCGTTTAGTTATCACATTTCCTCAGTCTCTTGTGAGACTTAGTTTTTGCATCTCTTGCGTGGCCTTGATGCTTAGGTGAATGATGGTCAGTGTCATGGCTTGTGCCTAGATGTCCCCCAAAGCCTCATGCAGTCGTAAGGTGGGGCTGAATCTGGAGAGTGTGATGCTGGGATTAAGAGTTGTGATTACTAAACCACTACCCCTGAGTGATTGGTTTGGCACTGCCCTAATCCCAGTAGTCTGGATTGGATAAAAGGAGCAGAATGACACTGTTAAATCTCTTATTGCTTTTGCTGCCTTCCTCTGCTGTGAACTGTTCCCCTCTGCCACCCTGCCTTAGAGCCAGTCAATTATGGACTGAAACCTCTACAAACTGTAAACCAAGTAAACCTCTCCTCCTTTAATTTGGGGTGTTGGGTATTTTGTCTCAGCAATGAGAGAAAAGTAACTAACACAGTCAGGTATTTTGTAGAATGTTCCTCAACTGAGGTTTTTCTGATGTCTTATGACAACTAGATGAAGGATGTGGATGCTTGGGCAGTAGACTGCAGGGATGAGCCATCCTTTCCAGCACATCTCATCAGGAGTCCCTGACAGCACCCCCAATCCAGGGCCCACACTGCCAAGGTGTGGTGGGGTGGCCAGAGTCAACACATCAGCAGCACCCAGAGTCCCCCGGTTCTCCCAGAGGTACAAAGTGGAGTGGACTCTGCACCTTTATGTTCTTGTGACCTTAGAGTGGTGAGTGTGGGGAAATCTCGGGGAGGAAATTATCTAGAAGGTGAGTGACTAAATCAAAGAAGGCAAGTGACTGGGCCTCTTGGATTTTGATCTTTATGATACAGCAGAGCTCTCTCACAGCTTAGCAATGAATATAAAAAGGATGTTTGCCCATTTTCCTCTGCCAGGATCATCTGAGATCAATGCTTACCCGTAGCAGACACCTATGCCCAGTGTTAGCAGGCTATAGTAGCACAAGCTTCTTGGCCCTCCATAATTCTGCTACCTACATTTATGTGTAATCATGGGAGAGGATTTATTGGGCAGGCTTAAAGGATCACAGGTAGAAGCAACCACAATGGCCATCTGTGGGATCAGATGTGGGAGAAGCCAGCAGCTGCTCAGCCAAGATGGAAGCTGCAGGACAAGAGGGATCAAGGATGCTGCACAAGTCCAAGGCCAAAGGCCTTGAGGCTCTCTGGAGGGGCACTGCTGATAATCTCTGTTGGGAGGCTGAAGAAACTGCAGACCTGGAGACTGATGTCTGAGGTGGAGACGTCTGGATGGACATCCAAAGGCAATGACAGTAAAGGGCAGACCTAGTCAGGAAATCTGGAACTCTTAGAAACGGGCACACTTCCTTTTCTTCCCCTTTTAATTCCATCCAAACTACAAGCCTATTGGTTAGGACCACCCACATCTGAGGTGGGTCTCCCCTCCTCAATTTGCTGGTGTACATGTCAATCATCCACAGACACACCCAGAACTGCGCTCCACTAATCCTCTAGGCATTTCCTAATCCACTCAAGTTGATGTGGCGTGATTAATGGCCATAGTGAGCTTCCTTGAGATCCCAGAATGGTAGTGGTGAGGGATGGGGTTTGAGGAAGATGGGGAAGGGGATGCTAAGAATGGATCCAGGTTTTTTTTTTTGTTTTTTTTTTTTTACCTTAACTAGAACTTTAATAGAGATGTACCCAATCTTAAACTTAATTGGCAAGAGTTGGCCAAAGACACGACAGGTGTCTTAGTCTGTTCAGGGTGCTGTAACAAAATGCCAGACTGGGTGGGTTATGAACAGCAGAAATTTATTTCTCACAGTTCTAGAGATGAAGTCCAAGATCCTCGGGTGATTCACTTCCTGGTTCATACGTGGTGCCTTCTCCCTGCGTCTTCACATGGAGAGAGCTGGAATTGAGCTCTCTTCAGCCTCTTTTACAGGGGCCCCAATCCCACTTCTGAAGTCTAACCTCTTGACCTAATCCCCTCCTAAAGGTCCTACTTCCCGACACTATCACCTTGGCGAGGGGTGGGATCTCAGATGTGAATTTTGGAGGAATACACACACTCATACCATAGCAATGTGTGGAACGAATTCCTATTAGCAAATGCTGTTGAATTGACCATAGAAGTTTGTACAAAAAGAGTTCTAGCATTAGGACAAGCAAAGATGACAGCTTCATTTCAAAGCACTTATGCTTAACTCTCCCCTTTCCCTGCAGAGTGGAAAGAATTAGAGGTGAGGGTGAGGTGGGGGTGGAGAATAAACATACAGTCCAGAGACCCCGAGAGGAAATCAGTCATCTGAATGTCTGCAATTGCCCTGGATGGAGCAGCTTCTTGCTGGGTGGACTGAAGTGTCAAACTGACAGGTGTTTGCTAAGTGTGGCCCTGGGAGGGGGCGAGGTGGGAGTGTCTGCAACTTCCACGTTCACTGAGAACCTGCCTTTCAGCCGCTGTGTTGGGCCACCTGAGCCAGCCCCTCTGATGGAGCCCACAGCCTGCAGGAGGGAGGGGACTGCAAGTGGCCAGCACAGAGCTGTGACAAGGACCGTGGGAATAAAACTGTACAGAGAAGAATCACTCGACAGGGCCTGGCTAGGAAGACTTGTGGAAACAGGGAAGAAGAGACAGGGAGAGGTTGACTTTCCATAGCACCCACCAGCCAAGGGTGGTTGGCAAGGGCCCCACAATTTGGGAAGAGCCTAGCAGTCAGCCAGCCAGGCAGAATGGACCATGAGTTTCCCTGCACCTGGAAACCCCACCAGCCAGATAGTGAAAGGTTTCTGCAGGTGAGACGGCGACTGTACACTTGCCACCTGCCCCCAGGAACACACGAGTATCTTCTAGACTGAGGGTCCACAAGCTCCTTCCCTAAAGGGGCAGAGGGGAAATATTTTCAGCATCATGGCCCACAGGGTCTCTGGTGCAGCTGTGTAACACTGCAGTTGCAGTGAGAAAGCAGCCACAGGCCGTGGGGGAAACAACAGGTGTGGTCTGCTTGGCTGGGAGCAGGAGTGCTAGAGCCTAGGTCTGTACTCGGCTCAGTGCCATCCCTGGCCCAGGCCGATCAGCACAACTGGTGTCACAGGTGCAGGGTCTCGGGCCCCCACATCCCACCCAGCCTTAATTAAGAACAAAGCTGCAGAGGACAGGGGGTTTAGCTCAGTGGTCCCACCACCTGCCTCGAAAGTGCAAGGTCCCGAGTTCGATCCCTGGTACCAAAAAACCCCCAAACAAAAAACCCAAACAAGAACAAAGCTGTAGGAAGGAATGTCTGAGAAATAGTTTATTCTGAACGAAGAATGGCACATGGACAGAGCTGGGAAACCTGGAGTCTCCAGGGCTGCGTCAGGCTCCTGCCCCCACTCACCAGCTCAGCCCAGGATGAAATCTGAACACTTCCAGGTCACAGTGAAGAGCGGAGCAGCCGCACTATTTGGCAGAGGGGGCAGGACAGTGCCCGTGGGGACAGGAGACCAAAAAGGGCGCTGACACAGACGGATGTGCTCAACACAACCCAGAAACAGCCTCAGTGCGAAGGGGAAACAATGACTACTTTTTAAAACCGCATCATACATTAAAATGTCTCTTAAATCTAAGAGAGGACAGACAGCCTCAAGGATTGATCTGTCATGTTAAAAAGTAGAAAGTGGAAACTGGATGAAAAGTAAAATCACAGTTGAACGTTTGCAGCAGGGATGTGCAGACATCGGTGCCTGCAGGAGGAAAGATAAAAAGAGTTGGAAATAGGAGTGCAGTTTGTCTACACAGGAAACTGCCGTGCCGGGTCTGTGAAACAGTCTCCAAACAGTGACGAAGATGAAGACAGTGAAGATCTTGAAAAATGGCTGCAAATCAAGTAGTCATTTGCTCTTTGAATGTGCTACATACAGAATCTTATGAAATCCCATTTTATTTTATTGATTTTCCTTTTTTTTTTCTTTTTTGTGTGATAGTCTTTTCAACTGGCCCAGGCTGTCCTGAACTCACAGTCCTCCTACCCCAGCCCCCCAAGTGCTGGGATTACAGTTGTGTGCCACCAGGCCCAGCCCCATTTTTATCCCAATTTTAAAATGAGTTCCCTGACTCTTGCGTGGTCATGTGCATTAGTGTGATCATGTGACATTTGGGTGATCATGTGACTTGCCTAAGGTCTTCCAACAGGTCAGCAGCAGGACTGGATTCTGCACATGAGTCTGACTGCAAAGCCCACTTTACTTTTTAAGCCTCAGTGCCTCCCAGTTCAAGGGCAAGTTGTTCCTGACCTCAGTGTAAAGCAGCTGGCCTTTGGGTAAAGCCACTTTCCTTCCGGAACAGACTTTCCAAACACCCATACCCCCTAAGTTACTGACAGGAAGCTGTTCCCATCCACGCCCGTCAGGTCCTTTGATTCTCTTTCAGGCTGTCTCCATGACCGGCATTCTGGGAAGGGCATTCTGCTGCAGCGTGGAGGACAGTGTGGGAGTAACCACTGACCAGTGAGGCGATTCTCATCTGAAAGGGCACCTGTGTGGCACCCCAACCCCAGGGCACAGGGTTGGAAGGCTGCTGACATTCAGGTGGAGCACTCTTGGGGACCCAGGGAAGAGCACAGCTGGGGCACAGAGCCCTCAGGCCCAGCCGATCTGCATGCTGCACTTCCTGCAATGTCAGAGTCTGTGGCCAGCAGAGAATGCCAGTGAAGCCACCCCAGGGCTGCTCCAGGATTTGGGAGCAGTGTCTCATCAGAGGGCAGACATGTGCAATAGTTAGGGTTCCCCTGGGGCTGTAGATTTCCAAAGTGCCATCCAGCAAGCGAGGGCCAAACTGCGAAGCAAGGGTGGGAATGTGCTTCAAATACTAGGATTCTATTTTGCAGGTACAAACAATTTTATAAATGCCCCAAAGTTTGCATATCTCCTATCCAACTGGATTCTCACAATAACCTTGTACCTGGAGGTGGAAAAGAGAGCTGTTTAACTTTCTTGGCAGATGCAGAAAACTGAGGCACAGATAGGCTGTGACTTGTCCGAGGTCACAGAGCAAATCAGCTGGGATCCAAACACAGGCTTCCCAGCTCCAAGTCAGGGGCTCTTTCTGCATCTGAGGTTTCTGGGGGTAGATGGGGACCATCACAGCACAGAGAGGGGCTCTGGATGGGCAGGGCAGAGAGGCCTGCTGTCCCCTGGGCAGCTGCAGGTGGAGGCTTAGCTGCTGCAGCCCTGGGGGCAGTTGTGGGCCAGGATGTTGTTGTTGCAGCCATCTTGGAGCTTGCTCTGGGCCTGGCTCCCGGCTCGGCCTTCAGGGTCGCCGTGTCCCTGCTGCCTCCTGAGCCTGTGAACAAGTACAGGACAGATGTGCGTCAGTGGCACTTAGTGCTGCAGAGCTGAAGCATGGTCACATGCTCAGAGACACACTTGGATAGCAGAGCATCAGAAGCTACATCAGTCTGCTTTCTGTTCCTGTGACAAAATACCTGAGAGTAGAAATTTGGCTCATGGTTTCAGAGGCTTCAGTCCATGGTTGGCTGGCTCCACTGTTCCTGGACCTGTGCTGAGGTACTATATCATGGTGAAAGGAAAGCTGTTCACCCTATGGCAGACCTTGTGAAGAGGAGCCTGCAAGGAAGGGGCTGGGGACAAGACATAGCCCCAAGTTCGCACCCTCATGACCCACTCCCTCCAATTAGGCCCCACCTCCAAAGTTTCCATCACCTCCCAATGGTGTGTCCATTAATGGGCAAATCCACCAATGAGTTTGGTGCTGTCATGACCCAATAACCTTCCAAAAGCCTTGCCTCTGAACATGTGAGTCTTGTGGGGGACATTTTAGGTCCAAACTGTAACAGAAGTCTTTAGCTAGTGCCTTCTCTTGCCTCGGATGCACAACAACCGTGGGGTTTGGGGTACTGGGCTCTGGTGCACTTGGTGAATTAATACCCAGAGCCTCAGTTTCTCCATCTGTGAAATGAAGATGGTTGTTCCCATCTCACGAGTCCTGGTGAAATTTATGGGAGGTCAGGCATGCAATTTTCCCAAGCTCATGGTTTGTAGACAGCTGATGAGCACCGTGCATCATTCACTCCATATGTCCTTACTGAGTGTTCACTGATGTCCCGGCCACCAGCCTGGGAGCAGGGTAGCCTGGCCACCTCAGGGTAGCCTGTTTGTCCTCACAGGGCTCACTGTCCAAAGGGCAGAGGGCACTGATCAGAGAATCCCACCCCCAAATATCTCAATGGTCAGATGCTCAGACTGACAAAATGCCCACTGCAAACAGGGCTGAGGGAGTGTAATTCTGAACACTGCATTTCCTACCAGCCAGACATCTGGTCACCTTCTGCCTGTTGGAAGAGTTCAGATTCATTCCCTGTACCACAGCTGTCACTGGATGTGCATGGTGCAGGCAGGAGAAGGAACTGAGAGATCTAAAGGGGGCAGGGAGGAGCTTCAGAGCAGGGAAGAATTCCGGCCAATCCCTGGCTCCCAACATTGGCCGCCTGGGTTACACGAGTCAAGCTGCTCAGCTTTTCTGCCTCAGCTTTCTTATTAAAAAGTGGAGATTCTACCGCTCACTTTGCAGGAGGCTGGGGGATCAAAGAGGATATATGTAGAATACCAAGTCCAGGGATGGAAGGAATCATAGTTACTGCTGGTTCGACTGTGTTCTGAAAGACAGGCCTCAGTGGGATTGACCTTATCTTACAGGTTTAGATCTAAAACGTCCCCCTAAAGTCTCGTGTGTGCCGAAGGGGTTTGGATGGTGGGGAGCTGAATCCTGTGTGGATCTGGGAAGAGTTCCTGTGAGAGGCGGCCCTGAGCTAGGCTGCAAGCACAGGATAGGCGCCCACTGTTGGGTGTGCAGTGTGGGTAGGTAGGGGAGAGCGGGAGAAGTTTGACATGAAAGGGCCTGAATGGGGAAGGGTGGGAAAGCACAAAAACACTTCAGTAATGACCCGGCCCTCTCTGGAGCTGACCTCTTCTGCCACCTGGCTTATTCTTTGGGCCAGAGCTACTTGAAGAAGCAGCGCCAGCTGTCTCAAGCCTGCCTGGCTCGGAAGCATTCTTCTGAGCACTATCACTGTGAGCGTGGAGGCCTCATGCAGGGGTGAAGGAGGTGTGGGTTATGTTCCTTGCAACTCACCACCGGATGCAGTGTCTGAGCAAGGAGAAGGCAAGAAGGAAGTGCCCTCCTGTGGGTATCCACCATCCACCCACAGGCCTACAAAGCTGGGGGCCAATCTGACTTGGGGAGCCTCAAAAGCCCGTTTCCCCACTACACGCACACTCCTCACCTCCCACCCAGCTATGTACCATCTATTCATCACACACAGGGCGATCGGAATACATAGTGAATGTTTAAATTTTAAAAAATGTATCACACTAAAAGACACATGGCTACGAACCCCCCCCCAAAATCCTCTCCTTCACTTCAAACATACTCATCCCATTGTTCTTGCTGCTGTCTGAAGCAGTTCTGGAAGTCTTCCTTCCTGAGTGTCTGTGGGGTATGATCAAAACTCTGTGAATGGCACTGCTGCTGCCATGTATTAGTCAACGGAAAGCATGACCAAGCGTCCTCATCCACTTTATTCATCAGATCTAGCACCATAAGACTTCTGGGTCTTTCTCAAAGTCAAAATGATGGTGAGAGGTAAATGTTTTGCATCAATTCAGGACACTGAGGCAACCATGACAGCACAACTAAAGACACTCATGAAAGAGGACTGCCAGAACTGCTTCAGAAAGTGGCAAGAATGATGGGATTAGTGTGTTTTTAAGCAAGGGGAGGAATTTGAGGAGGATTCATGGCCACATATCTTTTACTATAATAATTTTATTTAAACATTCACTGTATTTTTCAATCATACTTCATGCAGCCATGCACAAATACATCTCCCATGCATTCATTTTTATCTTCTTATTCCCAAGTCTGTCATTTACTTACCCATCTTTACACTTGTATGCCCCACCGTCCGTCTATCCATCCATTTCCATACGTCCATCCATCTTTCCCAGCCACACTTGTCTACCCCATCTTCCTACCTGCCTGCCCACTCCTCATCCACTACCTATTTCCTCCCCAGCCCATTTATCTCCCACGTACCACTCATCCATCTATTTACCCATCTAGCCATCTCCACCCATCCATTCATCATCCACCCATCCATCATGACATCCACTCATCCATCACTCACCCATCCACGCACCCACTCATTTCCTATCCCTCCCTCCATTGATCCCTGCCCGCCCCCAAGATCCCCCTCTTTCCACTCATCCTGTCTGCACACCAGCCTCCCAGGTGAAGTGGCCAGGGGACAGGACAGACAGCACAGGGAACACTGACCACGAAGACATCTCTGCTAGAGGGAAGTATGCATCACAGTAGGGCTGGGGCATGCCACTCACTAGCCCTTTGACTTTCGGAAGCTGGATTCAAACTCAGGGCTGCCTGTCTCCAAGACCTCTGCTCTTTTTGCTATATCTTGTGCTGTTCATTCCATACCAGGAAAGAAGAGAGTGTAGAATGATTTTTCCATGCTCCAAAGGAATTAGGCTCACATGGTCCAGTGGGACCAAGAAAGACGGCCAGCCCTGAGAGCTCACTACCGCACCAGCCCCCAGCCCCAGTGTCTTGAAGCCCTTGAGGAGGTGAAAAAGGATGCACATACATACACCAGCAGGTGCAGCTCACTCCTACTGATGCAAATCAGCTAGTTCTCTCTGCAGAGGCAGGCATAGTTCATTTCCCAACCAACTGATCAAATCAATGTCGGCTTTGTGACCAGAATTCTGAGGGATGGATGGGAGTGGTCTGAACTGTTTGAACTCAACCTGGAGGTGCCAGAAGGAAGCACTCTGTGACAGGGACCTACAGTCAACAGGGAGAGGACACAGACTGAGACCCACAGCAGTTGGGCTGGGAGGAGTTTTCAAAGTCAAAGGACTACCGAGGGGTAGAAGGAAAAGGCTAGCAAACAAACTAATTTCACATCCAGCTGTTGCCCACACTCCGCTGGGGTCGTATTAGTGTCCAGGCCAGCCTGCAGCTGACTGCAAGATGTGGATGAGGCCCAATCTCTGTGTGAGAGTCCAGTGTGGACTGAAAACTCACACTGTTTCCTGGTGCGTACGCACCTATCCACCTATCCGTGTCACTTCCTGAGCCCATGACATTCTAGAGTGGTACATGGTGTGGCTCTGGAGGCCTGAGGACTTGGATCAGAGTCCCAGCTCTGCCATTTACTGGCTATGCCCTGGAGGAACTCAGCTCTGCTTCTTTCAGCCTTCTTCCTTCATACGTGACATGGGGCAACAACACTTCCTGAAAGAGGAAGAGGAGCACATGTGGGTCATCTGCCTGCCCCATAGGGATCCTTGTGCGGGGCAGCTGGTTCACTGTGATGCCTGCCATGTGGATGTGCTCCCATTTTACAGATGGCAAAACTGCAGATCAGCAAGGTGTAACTTCCTGCTGTCACTCCAGTGCCTATCTCTTGACACTGGGTGGGTCGGTGGATGGGGGACACAGCTGGTTTTGCAGGCTTTGTCCTGCAAAAGACCAGGGTAGAAGACCGGAGGAATTTGTGGGGTACTGGACTGAACACGCACAGTGTGGGCAACAGGGTAACAGTCTGAGCAGGAGGGACTCACTGTGACCCGGTCTGCTGTCTGTATGGGTCTCTCCTCTGCCCACTGGAAAGGGCCACACTGGGCCATCTGTGGCCCCATGGGTTCCAGCATGGTGACCAGCCAGAGGCAAGGGCACAGTCAAGGTGCTGGGGCAATGGGCGGGTGAATGAATGGATGAATGGCTCAGCCTGGTTTCACCCTTCATGTGTGCCCAGGCTGGCAGCTCTGGGTCACATTCCCAGGGGAAAGGAGGCTGGCTGTAATGAAAGGGAGGATGGGGTGTCTTCGTGGGACGAAACTGGATTGCCAGCTGCAGAACTGGAGAGCGGGAGCCCCTGTGGGTGTCAGTTTGTGTTTGAATGAGTTCGTGTGTGAAGAATGTTAGCTCTCGTGGCCCAAAAAGCAGTTGTTAATTATTTTCTGTGTGTGTACGTGTGTTGCTTAGAAAAATGAAGACAAGATAATATTTGACACAGCACTTAATTAAGTGTCCCTACTCTGGACTGATGATTTTATGCATAATTAATATCACTGGCAAACACGTGTGGTGCTGTCACAGGAGCTAAATGCTTAGCATGTGTTAAGTCGTTTATCCCTTACAGCAGTCTTCGTCAGTTGATATTAATACTGCATCTTAAAAATGAGGAAACTGAGGTAGTGGTGTGAGATCTGAGGTCAGGAAGCTAACAAGGATCAGGACTC